GCTACGAACGGGGCTCCTGGCCTTACTACTAGGAGCAAGGACGCTACGAATGGGGCTCCTGGCCTTACTAGGAGCAAGGACGCTGCTAGAAGCAAAGGGCATCGCTACTAGGAGCAAGGACGCTACGAACGGGGCTTCCTTATTTTGCGAACCTGTAGGGGTGAGCCACTCAAAGGGTTCATGGAAGTTCATGGCCTTGGTTGATTCTGGCTCAGAGATGTGCCTCCAAGATATGGACCCTTGAAATTCCAAGCAACTATCATTTGTTTCTTTTAAGTGTGTGTTGTTTAATCATTTGTGACTGCATGATCCTTTTGTTTCGAAGACAAGAAAACACACTTGAGAGGGAGCTCTTGGCAGTTTCCTTGGCCCACCCGCATGAAGGACTGGGACACCGTGGTCTAAAGGACTGGGTGAGTATATCGCTACTAGTAACAAGAAGCTATATGGGGTCATCTCCAACTGCCAAAGTCTCGTATGATTGGTCACCGGTCGCGTAGACTTCTTGAGGTGGGTACACCAACCAGCAACTTGTGCTGAGGCATGGAGGTGATCCTTCAAACGAGGCTAAGACCTTTGGATCCTTGGCAGATTGAGGCCTTGCAGGAGTCAAAAAGTCTGAATCATTTTTGCAGCAGTCAAATTGCCGGAGGGCTTCATCCTTTCAATGATGCCGCTCATGGAGGCCACAGGAGTCGATAAACCCGCCCGAAAGTGGGTCTGTATATCGACCAGCATAGGTGTAGCACCACCAACATCATCAGCGGGCCATTTGGTACCCCTTGCGTTCAGGGTGCAAGTGATTGCCACTGAAGGATGTCTCAGGTGAAGGATGTCTCTGGGTGTCCGCATCGTCTGAGCGATCAGGACCAGTACGGCAAGGTCCTGGGCCTGGGCGATGAATGCGTGGAGCCTTGGGGCGAAAACTGAGAGGGAGTGATATGTCTCTTGAGATTTCTTAGCGCTCTTCTCACATACTCAGATGGAAGTGGATGGCATGCCCCCGGAAAAGAACGAGTTTCCTTTCAAAGAGGGATTCCATCAAAAAATGTGAGTGAGTCAGATTAAGACTGTGACCAAACCCAGTAGAGAACATTTATCTTCCCTACCATCGTACCTGGTACTTTCCATGTTTGTTTCCTGAAGGGTATCTATAGTCCAGAAAAGGGTAGAATCTGATATATATATATATAATATACTGTAGATGTAGTGAAGCGACATCCGCGAGGATGATGGCAGGCTTCAGATTTGTTTCTTTTAGCATTTTTTCGCGCCAGTGCAAGATCCCGGAGCTACCGTGGTTCCGGAAAGAGAGATCAAGCCTGTTGATGACCATGGTCATCGGCAGTCTTTGTATTGGGTAGCGGCCCCTTGAGGGCGGAGGTTGTCCGTGGACACATGCGCGCTTGGTTCAAGCAGTCCGGCAAAACGTGTGGACGTACCGTAGACGGTAGACATCACTATGTTTCAGAAACCCCTGCAATCCATGTTGCTTGAGTTTTTTCAGCTTTCAGACACCCCAAAGGCTCTGGTTTTGTCCACAGGCACCCACCAAAAGGGGCTCGGTGCTCGGTTCGTCCCAGTGCTCGGTGGTGGGATCGTGGTGAGTCAGACGAGACCGGTGTCGATCGTGGCTCTGGCGGAGCGATCTCAGGAACATTGGCCCAAGTGGCTGCCTCGCACCTGGCGCATTGCGTACTTCAAAGAGGATGGCAATGTGAAAGTCTGTTACATCAGCCCGGCAGGCGACAAGTGCCTGGAGAAGGCAGCCGTGATGCCTCTCGGTTTTGCGGCACTGGCAGTCTTGCAGTGAAAAACTTAGCGATAAGCTTTGTTTGTATCTTTTCCGTGACCTCTGTGATTTCCGGTCGGGGTCCTCCCCATGCACTTCAGCTCCCAGGTGACGGTTGGGACCTGTTCACCTCTACTAGTAACAATAAGAGTTTAATTAGAATTGTAATTACTAGCTTCTTGTTACTACCAGTAAGGCACTTGTTACTACTAGCAAAGGAATCTACCTGTTCACCTCTACGAGTCGGTGTGTTTTCGCCAGGTCCAAGGCGCGGGAGCAGCGCGTCGTGGAGAAAGCCAACGAGGCCGAGGCGGAGCGGATGCGGAAGCGGCGACGCCTGCGGAAGATGAACTCGGAGGCCCTATGCCTGGACGAGCAGCAGGACCAGCAGGATGCAGAGAATGAGAATGAAGAGGTTGCAGAGCAAGCTGCAGAGAAGGCTGCCGCTGAGGCACATGCGGAGGCGGAGGCAGCTGAGGCTGGGTCCGAAGGGTCCATCAACAGCGGAGGGTTTTGCCATGGTTTTTCGGTGAAGTCAAGATGTGCTGTAGTCAATCCACTTGTTTTGTAGTAAACCAGGTACTTGTGCTGCAACAACTGCCAAACCACCCGGTTACCTCCATGACTATATTTGCAAAGCATACATTATCCAAGATCATAAAAATGAACATCAACTGACAATAGATCGGGCATTGCAGGAATAGCCACGATTGCAATATTGTAACTCAGCTGTCACCAGGAGAAGCTTTCCTTAAGGTCAAGTGTTCCGCGAGGTGGGTTTGCCCCCGCTGAAAGGATTCCCAGCTTTGGTAGAAGGTGTCCAGCACAGCCCCCCACAGCATAATAACAGCCTTCCGCTAAGACATAGACCCAGAACCCTTGGTGTAGGCGCTGTAGGTGGCTGTTTGTTCAAGGGGATTAAGAGAGGGCGGCCGTTCCTCGAACCAAACCCACAGGCGGAGCAGAGTCTTTCTGTCCAAGTGCCTGTTCCAGCGAAGAGCGCTGGTGCTCGCCGGAAAGCCTCTTGGAGAGAGTTTCTTCTGGATGCATGTGATACATGATTCTTCTTTGTTGCCAGGAAAAAGATAATGCTATTCCTAACATTTAGGTGCATTTTCCGCCGGTAGACATCGGTTCAAAGACCACAGGATCGCTGATCTTAGACCATGTTAGACCTGTGCAGAGTCTGGTCGGGCCTCCCTGACCTACCGCCCTGCAGGCTGCCCTAGTACGGTGACTCCATTCTACTCAGTACGGTGGTTTAACTCACCCCTACCGAAAGAGACACCTAGAAACAGATCCTCTCCTTTCGCTCATATTACCCGTGCGATCAATCGACAAAATCCTCAATAGGTGCGCAGCCGTGCCGAAGCGCGCCCACAAAAGCGAAGAAGCGACGGCCGTGTGCCGTGTGCTGAGAAGCTGGAGCGCCAGAAGATTGGGAAGCCAGGCAGAGTTAGACTTAACCACAGCCTACTATACCTTCAGCTGCCAACTCACAAGAACATGAGAATGCGGCTACTAGTAGCAAGAGATGTTCTTGTAGAATGCACACGTTCCAACTAGTAGCCAGGCCATGTATGTGTTTGGTTTATTTGTTTCCAGTTGGAGTTCCGCCCAGAGTCGCGAGAGTTGTGGGAAAGTCAGCGCCGGGACGGGACGAACTGTGCCAGGCGGTTTCGATCCCTCCACATTGAGCGAATCGGATCTCCAGTGGCTAACCAAGCATCCGCTCTACACCAAGATCCACGAGCGAGGCCAGAATCTGAAACGGCTGAAAACTCTGGGAGTTACATGGTTCGGGCATGGCCAGAAACAGTGATTTGACTTTGCCGTTTCCATTTTTTTCCCGAATGTGTAGCGAAGGGTTCTCGTTTGACATTGGGAGTGTGAGGCCAGAGCGTTGTTCGCGTGATGTTTCTTTCGTGGGGAAACTTTTGGATGGAAGGTTGAAGTGTCCGACTCGTGTGAAATACTGTGCAGAGGTGACATGCTCAAGTGTGAAGCTTGAATTCCTGCGCAGGTGCAGCGTTTTGTGAGGTCAGGACATGTGGTCGCTCTGCCATTGGGATTCGCGTTCGCAGGGTCGTCTATTGGAGGTGTTTGATGTCGTTGTGCCATTGAGATTTGCATTTCAGGCTGTTGCCTCGAAGCTATGTTTTCGTGGCAAGTCTCAGCTAAAATTGCGATGTTGGTGGATGTGAGTGTGCTCAGAAAGCGTTGAAATCATTCCAAACTTGTGGTGTGGTGCAAGGTTTGCTGAAGACATGAAGATGTCATGTCGTCACTATTCAAGGCAGGCGCAGTACTTTGTGCGTGTTACAGGTGCCGAAGTTGAATTTCCCTGGCGCCTCGCCCGAAATGCTCGATCGAGCTCTGGGTCAGAATTGGTAACTTTCTAGTACAAAAATGTAACATGTAGTGCTGGAAGCAGCTTCTGGGAGCTCCGGGCTTGGTGGTGCAGAGAGTTCTGGGACTTCCGGGCTCAGACGTGACACCCTGTGCCGCGAAATTACGTCCGTCAGTGCGTCCGTCATATCACTGCACCATGCGGTTTGGCGCGGCCTTGGTGGAGAGTGCGTTTGCGTGGGTGTGTGCCATGAGGGGAAGGGAAGCATGCGTGTGTAAAGGCGAGCTGTCGCTGGTGAGCGAGATGGTTGGCGGCGTCATGTCACACGGCTGCCTCTAGCTTGTGGCACACGGCCCGGCGAAAATATATACGTCCATGACACGGTTTGGTGGAAAGATGTGGAAAGTGGGTTTGGGTGGCTCCGTGCCCTTGGATAGCGGGAAACACGATGTCATGCGTTTGTAAACCAGGCGTGTCGCTGGTGAACCGGATGATTTGTGTTCTCCCACAAGAGTGTTCCAGAAGAGTGCCCCGCTTGCTGCTGCCTTGCTGCGGGTTGGCTGCTGCTGCTACCGGTGGTTGGTTTGCTGCTGCTCCTGCTGCTGCTGCTCCTGGTTGGCTTCTACAGGTTTGCTTTTGGTTGGCTGCTGCCTTGCTGGTGCTGCTGCCGCTGCTGCTGGTTGGTTTGCTGCGGGTTGGCTGCTGTTGCTTGGCTACTGCTGGTTGGCTGCTGTTGGTTTGCTGTTGGTTCGCTGTTGCTGGCTGGCTGCTGCTGGTTGGCTTCTACTGGTTTGCTGCTGTTGGTTCGCTGGCGGTTGGGTGGTGTTTGTTTGCTGCTGGTTGGCTGCTGCTGGTCTGCTGCTGCTGGTTGGCTGCTGGTGGTTGGCTGCTGCTGCTGCTGCTGCTGGTGCTGGTGGTGCTGGTGGTGCTGGTGGTGGTGCTGGTGGTGGTGGTGGTGGTGGTGGTTGGGTGGTGGTTGGGTGGTGGTTGGCTGCTGTTGGTGGTTGGCTGCTGTTGGTGGTTGGCTGCTGCTGCTGCTGCTGCTGGCTGATTGCTGCTGGTGCTGCTTGCTGCTGGTGTTGTTGCATGCTGCTTGCTGCTGCTTGTCGCTGCTGCTGCCGTTGCTGCAAGGCCTATATGGGCCCCATTCATTCGCTGCCTGTCATTGTCGTGCACACACTTTTCAAGTTTCAGCAGCAGTTTCCCATTGCAGACTGGGTGTTGGAAAATGTTTCAAGCTTGGCAGGCCGGTTTGGTGAAACGCAGTGCCCCATGCGGAATCAAGTAACGCAAGGACGTTGCCGTGACTTAGTCGTGGCATGGTGTGCCACAGTGTGATTTGGTTGCCACAGCTGCATTGCAAGGACTTTCGCGTTTGGGTGTAAGTGGGCCTGGGTCTTCTGGGCAAACGTGTCCATCTCGCTCAATACCTCGCCCACATCACGCCCTCTATCTCCAACGTTTCCGTGCTGCCTGGCCCTTTCTTGCATGTTTTGCATCAACTTCACCCCTGCACCAACATCGGGGCCGGGAATCCTCCACACATCAGAATTCACGTCACGCGAGGTTATCCGATCCCCATCGGCGACCAAGACATCTTGGCCTTGAAGCCCTTCACACCCAAGGCTTTTGGAGGAGACGCCGAGCTGAACTTCTACTGAACGCAGTGTAGGCGGCAGTGTCCGCGCTGTCCAACTGTGTGTGGGACTGTGTTTAGGAGAAGGTGAGTGGAGTGGGACCAATGCCCCATGTGCTCTCGTGTCGGAAAGGTGCCAAGAAATTGAAAAAGAGCGTCGCATCCGTGGGCGTTTCATGGACTAGATATGAGACTTTACCACAGGATGTTGGATAGACCTTTGGTTTATCCAACCAGTCACAATACATTGTATATCATATAGCTATGTATATATATATATATACATAGTATTATTATATTGGTGATTGGAGAAAGCCGGATATTGGTGATTGGAGAAAACCGGAATCGAGTAGTGGAGCTGACGCATCCAGGTACAATCCATGGATCAGATGTGCAACAAGTGGCATTGCTTGACTGCTCGCTGCCCTGTTGTAAGTCGAACATCGGTAGCCCTAACCCAAAAACGTGTCCAGAGCCAGCAAAAGTTTGACCTCGGCCCATCTGGTTTTTTGCTGCCAAGAAGACCTGGAGATGGGACATCTCGAAACCCTTTTCAGCCCCTGACCGTGCTAATCCGTTGAGTGTTCTACATTGGTCATCTAAAAAGATAGGTCAACTAGGGTCTACAGATGTCTATAGTCACTGATGATGTAATAGAGGATACATGTTGGACATCTTCACAGAAAGCAAGCAGTGGTCAAGAAGTAGTTGCTTGTACCGGAATGACATGGCCTTGATCCAAGGTTGGTCTTCAGTTGGCCTATGAGTTTTGAAAGCACCAACCGTGATCGGTTCGCTCAGATGGATGTCATGTAGGACCCCTGATGGGTCGGCTGCTGTTTTCCTCAGATTTAAGGCCGCCTCTGGGTCATCAAGTTTGATACAGCCTTCTGCTTCTTTCTTCCACCCACGCAACCTTGGGATGTGACCCTCAGCGGTGGAGGGCTTGCGAGCTGTTGCAAAATGTAGGCTGAGAACATGGATGTTTGTTGTTTCATGTTGTTTCCAAGCGAAACCCGCCGTCTTTTGGACGCAATCATGACCGTGGCCGTGGGTGGAGGACTCTTGTTTGACACGAGAAGACGACAATGCCCTTCAGTTCCACTGCATCTCGCTTGTTTGAAAAGACTCGGTGCGCACTGGTGATGGGTCTGAGCTATTGCACGTCATTCTAGAAAAGTCCAATACTGAAGTAAGATGGAACAACAGAATAATGCCATGTGGAAGCTCCACAAAATGCCAATGGGTAGGACCTGGAAATTGATGTCCAGCTCGAAAAATCTAGCAGCCTCGTCCTGGCAGGGCCACAGACATTAAAACAAAAACAAAACGCAAACTTTGACAAGTCGAAGACCTCCAACCGTGGAGCCACGCCGTGGCCGATGATCCGCTTGCCCGAGGCCTCGCTGAGCGGGGAGTAGGTACCAGGGACGTCCCTGGTAGTCCCTGTGTGTTTGGATGATTTTGCTTAGCCTTCTGAGCCTTCTCCACTTTTTGGGGTCAAATGCACATTGGCCCTGTCCATGCTTTCGGCTATGCAAAATTATGCAAAAAGGCATTGGCGGAGCATGGAGGGATATGTGGTGCTGGCAGGAAAATTATGACACGTGTTGTTGCAGCGCAGAGGTGTTGGGAATCCGTGGGATACAATCCGTACATCACAGTATATTTTATGCTTGTGATTGCTAGAGGGTTATGGTTAAGGCATGTTAAGGCTAATTCAACGCGCTTCTAGAGCCTGTGCAACATCACCCAACCTTGCCACGAAGTCAAAAAACGGAGACCTTTCATATTTGTGGAGGGCAACTCGATTCTGTAATTCTGCAAGTGGTTGCACTTGGGGGCCCAACGACCTCGTTGTTCTACTGCAGATGCACAGGGGGCTTTGTGTAACTCACAAGATTTGTCCACAATACTTTCACGAAGTGGTATTAATTCTCAGGTCCCTCAGCCAGATCTACTTTTTGACACGTGGCAAGCACTTCAAGCACTGATATTCTCAGATGCTCATGGTGCGCTAAAGGGTCTGCCGCTGGCCAGACCAGATGTCAGTAACATGAATTCTGTGCAGATGCGTATGTGAAGATACCCGGTAGTTAGGGTTTCTGCAGTATTTCAATCAACTTTGTTTCTGCATCAAAACCAGTCATGCCTTCTTCGTTTCATGTCAGCTGACTCTTCACTCGACGTGCAGTTTCTCAGCTCCAATTGTAGCTCACCCGAGCGTAGCTCGCCTCGGGTGATTGGGGGCGCTTGGTCCTCAGTCGTGGAACCAAAACGCTTCTCGGGCAGTGAAGCTGATGGGTGGGAGGAATGAAGCACCAACCGCATTGTTTCTTTGGACGGACGCGTACATGAAGTGACCACCGGTTTGTTGTCAAAATCTAACTTGGAACCTGCAACCCACGGGAAAGCTGCCATCCCATGTGTTGTGATTGGGGCAGTTTCAAAGGTTCTCACTTGAGGGAAACGTGCGGGCGGGGGGAAAGGTGTCAACGGTTCAGGGTTCAGCCACAAAACTATTGAGCACAGCACACACACAACGATTTCACCATCAAGGGATTTCAGATTTGCCTCCAACACGGGCCTCCAAAATCAGTCAAATGTCGGCCGAACAGCCTCTGAATTTCGCAGACTCTGCACAGGTTCAAAGAGGTACATAAAAAGACACGCTGCCTTTTGGGCGACCTCTCGGCAGGCAATGGCACTGCTCCACCTTGCCTTGCTGCCCCTAGTGGCAGCGGTCGGGCAACCTTTCGGGGGAAGGGATAGAAAGGATGTTGCTGGTGGATTGCATGCTTGTAGTGCCACACTACCACTCACCGCAAAAACTGGCCAAAGAATTCTGTCGCGAAGGAAGGATCCCACTTGTTCCGTCCAATCTTCGGAGGCCAGATGAATACCCGCGTGTGGTGTGTAAGTGGGAGCTGGGCGCAGGTGGCTGGTGCGAGGTCACCAAGGGTCGGTGAACCTACCGACTTGGGTGGGTATGGCTCCAACATGAATGACACCCCTCCGGCAAAAGGACCAGTAAACTAAACCTCCATGGCTTGGCCTCTTTGAACAGAGCCGACTTGGGTGCTTCGCAGTGCGGACATCGCCAAGGTGGATCTTGGACAGGAACAATTCCTCCGCAAGGCACTGCGCTCGACATGATGGATGTCCCGAACAAACATGATAATGTTGGAGCCTGATTAGTAAATAGGTCCTCTATAATGCTAAATTTTTCCAAATTTATTCAGACCCCCCTGTTTGAAAAATGGTTCCTGAATAATGCTAATTTTTTTTTGGACCCTAAATGTTTAAATTGGAAACCCAATTAATAGGGGTTTGAATTCCTTCTGAGGCCAATGATTATGATTCATTAGCAGATATAGCTTTCTCTAGGTTTCTTCAAAACTGACAGCTGACCAAAACCACCAATTCCCCAATTAAACCCTTTATAAAACATTGCTCCTAAACAAATTTTCAAGGTAGTAGACCAGGAAGGCACCTGATTCTCAATAATGAATTTGTTTTTGGGTCCTCAATTGTGAAAAGTTTTTTCCACTGGAAAAAATTGCGCACGGAATCTTCCTTTACTTAGGAAGCCATGGAAGCTGAGGAAGAAGCTGAAAGCTTGGGGCTTCTCTTGAGCTGAAGATCTGAGGCTGCAAAGCAAACGGATTGCTGAGAACAATTACAAAGCACCTGAGAAAGGAAGCTGAATACAATCTATGAAAGGAAAATTAATACTATCAATTACAAAAAGGAATTCTCACAAGAATCCAGATTTGTTTTGGTGATAGTGAGGACCTCCTGTTTGTTTGAGGGGGGGGGCCCTATTTACTATTCAGGCTCCAACATTATGTATTATATATATAAATACATTAATTGGAATAAAACTGAGGAAGCTTCGAGTCACGTTATAATGGCTCCACCAGTTCATTCTTCGGGCCTCTCGATCCAGATTCAAGGGACTTTTATCCGCGTTCGGACTTTGGATCCTTTTGGCTTGTCACGCCCAGGGAACTTTCATTGACCGATACACAGTATGTGTACTGTACTGTATTTTGTAGATCTAACTACTACTTCTGAGAAAACCAAATGACTTGCAGGTCACCTACAGATGAATTCTTAAAGATTATATTTTGCATCTATATTAATAATTAGATTATATAGACAATCCAAGAGGTGAAGGTGCTTGCTCTTGTTCTTTGTGAGCCCATCCTCCCTCACATCTCCAATTTCGCGGTGAGGCTGAGATGGCGACACCTTCATGGGAGGCGGAGACCAAGAACTGACTCATACCCATCTGGCACGAAGCCTATTTGCAGAACAGGGTTCTGATCTGGAGCGGGGCCAACCAACCGATCCTACATTGAGTGTTGGGGACACAGGACAAGCATGGTGATCATTTACAAGTTTGCCATGTGTAAGTGCAGCACCGACCACGCAAGTGCAACGACTCAACAACTTAATCAAAGACAGCACTGAGAGGCCCCTACAACAACCCCTGCTGCTACGAATGGCCAACTGGATGCACACTTCCAGTAGCCTAGCTTCCGCAAGTTCACCATGTCATCCTTTGCCACGGCATGGATGCGCGTGGTGTCCTTCCATCGCGCAGCACGTCGGTAGGCGTCACCGACGTTGCGAGTCCAGCTCTACATCACAGCTGTGATGTGTCCGGGGCCTCCAGGGGCGCGATGAGTAAAAGCGGAAGCAGTGACAAACTGGGTGTGGAAGAAATGCAAGATTTGTGTTGTTCCTACCCTGTTCCTACGCTAGATGTCAATTTAGTTCGTGTAAGACCTTCGGGTCCTTCAGAAAAGGGACACCTCATCATTTTGGTCGAATCTTTACCTTGTACACTCCATGACTCCATGTTCATTCCATCTCTGGGTACTCTGTGGGGCTGCCTTACACATCGCTTTGGCTACGGGTCCAACACCGTATGACAGTAATGGTTGAGAGGCCTAGGCAGCTTTCCAACCCACAAAGGATCAGGGCAAATGTGGTTCTGAGCGTACCTCCAGAAGCGCG